GACAAAGATTAGGTTGATTTTATATATAACATTTTTAAGATGATATTTTGTTTTACTAAGCAAATTGAACATTGTACACAGCATTATGAAACGGGTATTCTTTTCTTTTTTTTTCCGAATCTCTCTCGAAAAATGACAATATAAGTAGATGTATAAACACAAGATAAATGATGATGATAATAATAATAATAATAATTTGGATGTGTATAGTGCTGTGCTACAAAAGAATTTCTTTAGTTGCCAGTTTTTGTAGGCTCATAAAAAAAGGGTTGGGGGCGGGAAATCAGACTTATCATAGAATCAGTTGACAGTATTTGAAAACTAGGAGCCAGTTGGAATACCAATAGTAATAATAATGTACTGACGATCGTAGTATCGACAGCACATAAGACTCTGAGTAGTCACTAAGCCTGCTGAAATAAAACAGCTATTCAATGCTTTTTGTTTTTTTACTAATCCTCCGGTTTTATATCGTTGTGTAACGAAAAGGATGCTGAGATTTCTGTCAGTACCCTACAGTTAGATCCAAATTATAATTTAACAGTTTACCTTATTTCATGAAAATGATGGTGTTGACACTTTCCACTTTAACAAAATGAGCATCGATGATTATTTTTAAAACGTAGATTTCGCCAGGAATCAACACAACATACAGATAATTGAGAAACCAAGGGGAACTGGATAGCCAGTTTGTCCCAGTTTTGGACTCGTCAGCAGTGAACACCCACGACATCCAGCACCAGGGATCTAATTTAAGAAATTAAGGTTACGAGAACAAGCTCTCTGACCACTCGGTCATTTGGACCGGATTTCAATGACTTGTGATTTCTTACTTCGTCTCGTAGCTTTTGGCTCTCAGATTAGATCGCTGGTTGTGGTGTAGTGGGTGGGCTCTGATGCAGAGTTCCAAACTGCTGTTGGTTTCGTGAAGAAATTTATATTGGAATTAATCCCAGATCTTTTCCAAGAAACCCATAATCTAAATTAGTGATTACCTATAAATTCACTTAGCTTTAGATGTGATCTAAGCATGAATGGGATTTCCCGCTGCACATTATGTCAAAAAGAGTTTAGTTGTACGTATGTTCACACACACATAGAAAATAGACTTATCTTTCTTCTTTTAATGAGTAACATTCATACACGCATCAATCAACAGTCAGTGTTCATAACTTTTGACCTGAAAAGAAAAACAAAAAGCCAAAAGATTATATCTCATAACAGATTTTAAATCTCACGAATGTTTTAGATTTCCACTAGGGGTGTGTATGTTAAAAATCACACCTACCTAAAAAGTTAAAACAAGCAATAATCAGTCAGCACAGAATTATGTAATCAAGATAAGCATCTGATTTGACTGGGAGATGAAGAAATCGCCTATATTTATCGAGCAGTCCCACATCAGACCACATTATGTAGACACAGTTGTCTGAGTGTGCCTTTAATCAACAAACCATGTGATTCGTCTTATAGCCTATCTTGGTAGTGTGTGCACACATGTGTGTGTTTGCGTGTTCTTTGTGTGTGTATGTGTGTGTTACGATTTTCCTTTTCCTAGACTCATCTGTCATTCCGATGAAGTGATGTGGTTTTGTATATATATATATATATATATATATATATATAGGATTGTATTTTGAGGTTTAATTGAGATAGGAGGCGAGATGACGATGTCATTTCTAGTGTTGTAAAGCTTAATATATGCCTATCGGTCATGCTTTCTGAACGCGTTTTCCTTTGATCATTCTTACTTTGTGTTTTTTTTTCCTGACTGATTTACAATGTAAACCGACCGCCAGATAGTTAAAAAAATGCAGAAAAAGTCTTTACTGTTATTATTATCACCACTACTGGTACTATTTTTTTTTTTTCAATATCTTCAGAGTACTTCCGCTATTACTGTTTGAGTGTTTGGTTGGTTTCAGTATGTTTTTATAAAGAGAGAAAGAGTAGATTTAACGCTGACTAACGTTCATAACGTTAATGGATTGTTAAAAGGTAGAGTGTGAGAAAATCACTGTCAGTTAGTTAAGTAGGCAACAACAGTTAGTATATTTATTATTCAACACGAAGAACAAAGTGACAAAGTATTCTGTCAATTTCAAATTTCAGTCTTGTTGAACTGGAAAGGACACTTATATTGTAGCATTAATTAATTTATAATTATAAATGTAAGAGTGATTAAAGGAAATCCTACCAGGTTGGTATTTTTATCAGTAATAGAAAAAAGAGATAACAGGATACGAGAGACAGTGAAATATGCTTTTTTTTTTACAAAAAAAAAATAGGGATTTCAAGAGGGGAGGGGTCAGGATAAATTAATCAATGCACTGAGTATTGCATTTCCCTGCTGTCACATGATTTTATGCATGAGGTTTATTTTAATCTTACTGTGCGGCAATGTAAACGGCGGTAAGAGAATGAACGGTAAGAGAAATGGCGTTCAACTCATAGTGTTAGATTTGAATTATTTGTTGCCTGCGTTATTATTAATACTGTGTGATTGAAAAAAAGGTTTTGTCAACTGTAATTGATTTTGTCGTAATGTAAGCTTGTTTGTCAAATTTATAAATCACCTACCAATTAGCACAACAGAGTAGATTAAGTGAACAGCGAAATTTAAATGAGTTAGATTACAGCATTGTTACTATTCCCTTAGGTTCCTAATGGAACCAAAGGCTTCAATAGCACATCTGTTCTCCGCAGTCCTCTTCAGGTGGCTCAACGATTGCCCATAGCCTCTCATCACCTCCTCAAACAATCTCCAGCATGTCACCCTTTCATCGACGGCCAACTTGTTGCTACCCATTCGTGGTTTTCACTCAGCTGCCTGGCTCTTGATGTCACTCGACGGTCTTCTTAGATACATTTTCACTTTTTTTTCAACATAATTGTCCGACTGTAGACTCATTGTTGGTTTGTCGCCAGAGTTCCAAGTTGTTAAGCGTTTCCAGTCACCTGGTGTTCAATATACAGCATGGACAGCTATTGCAAGATGTCTTCAGTGACCTTTTGAAAATGCTTTTCGTTACACACACACACACACACACAAGTCTCTGACGTATATGGAAGTGCTTACTCATTAGAAACTAGGGTTGAAAATCCGAATCTTATTCTTTATGCTAAGTGCAGTAGATGTCTACAGCTGTTTCAGATTGGCGATGGTTTGTCGCGCTTTTCCGATCGTGAAAATACTGGAAGTAGTGAAAGTTAGTTCGAAGTAATCATTATGACTGAACCCGATGATCAAGTAACTTACTGGAGGATATTCAATGTTTAATGCTATTAGATTATTTGTGTAACTTTATGTGACTCAACTCCAGTGTGCCACATTAGCAATGCCTGAAGGTAATTAGTTCGAATAACTTTTATCTTATCACATGAAGACCTAATCTTAAAGCCTGTCAGTAGGCGTATGTCCATACGCTAGTTGTGTTATGAACGTTTCATTTTTCCCGCAACATCTTACAGCATTTCATCTAGTTTGTACATTCATTCGCCTATCGTAACCATCATAAATTTCTGTGTCACTAAACTGTGTTCACAGCCTGTGCACAAGTTGTATAACAAAAGTCAACTTCGTTATATTCTCCATTTTTTTTTCTTTTCATTAATCAACTAGCAGTAATAATGCATGAATGGCTTTCTATTGTCTACAAGTATTTCCGCTAGTTTATTTATGCACATCACAAAATAATACATGGGATAAAAAGTTTGTTTACGCAAGAGGATATTCTGGCGCCATTAGTTAGGCTATTCCACCTATGCAGTAATTTTTGTATCCAGATTATATAGAGTACAAGACTTTTACATTACAGATAAATAACTGTTTGTTGGTGACGTTAGCTTGCAAAAGACTAAGAGATGGTATTCAAAAGTAATGGTACAAAATTATATCTATATATATAAGCTGATATAAATAGTTTTCCAGATTCATGTTGTCCGCTCTTAAGGATGACGTGATTTTTTAAGTAAGCTGTCAACTAAGATGCTTGTAACTAATCCTTAATGTCTAAATAGATTTCGTGAGTCGTTCTTAACAAGATCACTTTGATAGCCTTTATTAATTTGAAAGCATCAGGTAGATGTGTTTATTACAAGTTGATATTAGTATTAGCTTACGCTGGATTCTACATGAAGCGTTATGTGAATGAATTACTTCGACATATAATCAGGCAGCGTTTGTTTCCACTGTTAGGACTGGGTTACATCTGATGCTGGATTCCACCAGCTTCGATGTTATTCGTTCATAAAGGCAAAGGCGACTTCAATACAATCAACATCGACTGAAGGTTTGATGCACACAAATGTTTTTTCTTCTTCATTTCTTTGCATTACAGGGATTTAAACCTTGCGCTTCTAAGCTTCAGTAGTCATAGTGTTTCTTTTTACGGGGTAGGGCTGCCAGCCTCACTTACTATCTTGCGTCTTTACTGGTCTTCATACTGGCTAGGCGAGTTTTAAGAGTGTATCAGACGTGAATGGAACCATTGACACACTATTCATTTAAATAATCACCAAAAATACATATTGGTAATGAAAATAACTCAGAAATGAACAAAATTTAAGCTTTCCTGATGTAGATGATTGGCTCTCCTATTTTTACGCCAAAAGCAAAACTAAAATATCGTTTCTTAGGCCATTTTTCTCATTTTTGTTCATATTTAATATTGAACTATTTCCCTGGACTTCTTATGATTGACTAATGCATGTTCACTGTGAACACTGTCCATCACTTAATAATATTAAAATTGTCTCACGTCTAGGTTCTCAATTCTCATAGTTTCTATCGTGAAGCTACGATAAAAATGTTGTGTCAAGAGGTATAAAAAGGCAAGTGAAGCAGAATAACTGAATTGAGACATTATTCAATATGCATTAGAAATATCTAACCTCACTGTTGTAACTGCATTTCCGGATGTAGTACATCTCACACTAATAATTGATGTTTTTCTCGAAAAAAACCTTTAGTCAACTTTCCTTTTGCTTTTTTTCTACAGACTTGGACAGGAAATTCCAACTGGAACCAGTTTCTACAGACTTGGCTGTAAGTAAACGGCTTGTACTCACTTGTCTGCCGCCTAAAGGTGATCCCGATCCTGAAGTAAGTTTGTATTTATGCATCGTGTAAATGGTCATTTAAACCTGAACACTTATTCCATCGAAAGATATTTAGTTCTTGTTTGTGCATGTTTTGGTCTCTTAACCGTTTTTTTATGTAAATACCCGTTTACTATATATATATATATATATATATATATATATATATATATATATATATATATATATATATATATTATATATATATATATATATATATATATATATTTCTAGTAATTTTCATAAACAAGCTTTTATAGCGTGTGAATTTCATTGTCATGGTCGTCATTTATCAGGTGAAAGACAAATGAAATGTATACAAGTGTCTAAGTGATACGTTTCATGTTATATGAAGTACGTTATTTATATATATGCATCGATCGGAGGTAAGGAGGTTTTAAAGTGTCCTTTACACATATACGCATAGATATGATAGAGAAGATTTGTAGCTCAGGTGGATAATTTTGATGTACGCATATTATACCTTAGATTTGTTTAACACTCTAGTTGATTCGCTGACAGTGGATCTTTGATTTTTTTGGCTGACAGATTGACGACTACAAAAATGACTTAAAGACGTGGTGTAGTGTATACTCATCACTGTAATACCATCTCCACACCAGTGAGGAGTTGTGGTAAATAAAACTGAGGCTGAAGAATTAGCCAAACAATGTTACCATTTATATGATTATTTTACAGAAATAGTGAATCTCAAGTTTAATTTATTTAACAATGAAGTAATAAATTATTAGTGACACGAATTCCAATGAGGATTAAGAATGTCTCTGAGCTCACTGAATAGTAATGTGCTGTTCTTTTCTGTTCTGTCTCAGTCTTCTGGGTAAGAACAAGTGAGATAGGCGCGACTGATATCTATGTGGTTAGCATAGCTTGACATCTTCACAAGTGAATCAAAAATAAACTTCGTATGAGGGAGGAAACTGAGTTGAATGATGGCTAGTCTTCTTATGTGTGAATATTAAGCCTTGTGACTGGGTGTATCACACCAGGCTCTTATCGTATGGTGTTTATGTTTTTCTCATCGGGTTATGCCAAATCATATCGCTTGATCTTTTTTGTCTATGTAATCACTGTTGAGTTAAATATCAGTGTATTATCCTACATGGTCTTCATTTTTAGCCCAGAAATTCTGACCTCGTTTTCTATTACAGTACTACTGTCCTATCCACCATCGAGTTATGTGATGGTACTATATTTATAGTTTTTTAAAAGGATTATGAAACCAAAAGGGTTTTGTTAACAAGAGGAAGTTTAAGATGATATCTTGCATCATTATGAGATAATCTGATTTCTGATAAAAGTACTTTTCGATAAATATTCAACGATAGGGGAATGTTCCACTCGTAAGTACACCACATTTAGACCTATTTTTCAAAAAAAGTTCCCTCAGTTATAATTTCCAGTTATCATTGGGAAGAACTAGATAGAAGATAGGAAATTGTGATGTAGCACCTCACTGGCTGGAATATACCCTTCATCAAGATTCCTTTGGTAGTCAGAAGAACAATAAACTTTCAAGTAAAACTTATAATCAATATTTTTCAATAAAATCCCCTTGATTGAAGACATTCTGATAACACTTTTTAATTTGCTAGGGTTATAGAAATCAAAGTAGTTTGGTGCAGCACCTATTATAAAAGATAACATTAGAATTATTTAGAAAAGACACGGACTAATGAAACTATTGGGTTCATTAAATGACATAAGAGAGTCGAGACTATTTATCTCTCAATCGGCAGAATAAGTCAACTGCCCAACAGGATGAGTTCCTGTGGGTTTATTATTATTCTACCCTTGGGTTCCGAGTGGAACATAGGGCTTCAGCTACACATCATCTACACTTTGTTCTGATTTCTGTCACGCTTTTCGGCTGAGTCCACGACTGACCAAGCTCTCTCATCTTTTCCTTACATGAACTCCTCCATGTTACCCTTAAAGTGATGACCCACTGGTCGCTACCCGTTGGGCTTCCACTCGAGTGATGATCTGCATTGCGCGAGATGTCATTTGACAGTCTCCTCAATGTATTCCCGATCCATCTTCACTTCCTCCTACATATTTGTTGAGCGGTGGGCTCTCGCTTATTGGTTTGTTCCCAGTCAGGTTTTCTTGTTTCTTTCTGGCCATTTGATCTTCAGAATGGAGCCAGCCAGTGAAGGCAGCAGTTGATGAGAATCTGAAACCTGTTGGAAATGCTTTTTGTGACACGCCGGCCAAGTTTCTAACCCGTGTAGAATGACCAACTTGACATTGGTGTTGAAAATCCGAATCTTGTTCCGTATACTGAGTGACAGCGGAAGATTTCCAAACTGGTTTTCAATTGATGAAGGTGTGCGTACCATGCCTTTTCGGTTCTGACTTTGAAATCTTCGTCTGCTTCGCCTGTAGTTGAACCGATGCTTCTTGGCTGGATAAGTGAAGGTGGCAACCTCTGTTAAATCCCTCCTGTTGATGGTGATTAGTTGCTGTTGGTTGGTTGACTATCTTCATTACCTCCGTCTTGTCTATGTTCATCCGCAGTCCTGTTTTCGTTGCCTTTTTTTTCTGTGGTCTGAAACAAGTATTGTGAATTTCAGTCTTAGTATTCCTCGATTTGTCTAAAAGCATCAGAATTAATGAAGCCGAACTGTAATTCGATCGGTACAGTCACTATGTAGCTGTAGAAGACAAAATACTTGGTAATGGAATGTGTATTTGTGATCTAATATATCTGTACATAAGAAAATTATGTACACATTATATAAAAATCGTGATTTTCACAGGTCTTTTGATGTTGTACTACTTCTGCTCTTCACATATTGTCTTTCTATGTCTTCTTTTCGTGTCTCTCGTGTTTTATTGCAATACTAGTTCATTCGCTCTCTTTGACGTCAAATCTGTCTCTCCGCTATTTGACAGTCAACGAGAGTTTCTTTATACACTACTGACAAGATTTATCAGTAGCATATATCACAAATTAAAGTGGATTTTCACGCCGACAGTCTTTTCAATGTATAATCGTTTGATCTCTTCTTGAAGTCAATGTAAAGGGTCAATGATGGCAGAAAAATATCATTCATCATGTGTTTTTGTATCGTATAATTAGTTAACTGTTCAAATAATGCTTGACTAATTAGTCAACCTATTCATTAGGTTATCAGTATAACTTTAGATCAAAGTTCTAATTCTAGCCTACGTATGTATATTTGATAATATCGAGACATAGGTTCAATGAAACAGTTAGTTCACTTCTTGTCGGTAAGGTATACTGTCAAAAAAAAAATGTAGATAACATTTAAGTATAAAACTAAAATTGAATAGAATTGTAAGTCACCAGTAAATCATAATTAAACATTTATTCTGTCAATATCAGTACACATTGATTGGTGTCATCATTTCTGGATGCATTTTCAGTTGATGATATTTGTGACACTTTATTGGAGGTTATAACAACTTGTACATGCCAGGTGAAATGGAAAAATCGACTTTTGAATTAAGCTGAATACTACTTTGTCATTTTTAAGACATTTTAAGATTTTGTGGCTGTATCTGATAGATTATGTATTTAAGTAGTAGTCGAATGGCGGAAAAATGCCACAAAGTAAATGTCTTCAGAATAACCAAGCTGGAGTTAAACAAGTGTTTGCCGACTATATCTGATTAGATAAACAAGTAGGAAGTAGGTTTTTTAATTCGCCTGCTCTTGTAGTTAATAATTCAGTGTGTGATTGAGTAATCGTCAAAAGACCCTGGAAGGTCTGCACTTTGCAGATGATTTTTAATATCTAATGGAACAAAGCCTCAAAGATCTACAAAGACGAGCAAGTTATCGGCTAAAACATGACTCCAGGTGAATATGGAGAAGGAAGAGGTGATTGAGATACCTAACTGCCAACAACGAAAAGCACCAGTCATTATCACCGGGAAGAATCTAAAAGAAGTCGTTTGTTTCACTCACCTGGGTACCATCGTACGAACAACGTTAAAACTAGCCATCCAGGATCAGATAGCCTCTGGAAAGCAAGACAGGTGTTTATCATTCTGATATTACAGTATGGAGATGTTCAACACTCAGCAAACACAAAAGTGATCCAAATTTTCATCGGTAATATCAAGTCACTTGGTACTTCTATGTAATTCAGAGACATAGCGCATCACCAAAAGCAATTTTAACAGGCTAATATAGACTTCCACTGGCAGTTACCCTCATTGGCTGGATAATCAATACCAGATAGTCAGAAAGGATGAGCAGCAAGGAACGCTGGTGGAGAACTAGCTAGGAACTTATTGCCCAACAGGTAAACAGAAGGAAATAGAAGTGGATTGGGTAGATGCTGAAAAGACACTTGAGTAACAACACCTGTCTGGCAGGTCCCAAATGAAAACTCAGTGGGAAAAGACAATTCTACCGTCCAAGAGTGACCTGGAGGAGATCGTACCAGAAGGAAATAAAAGCTCATGGGTAATCGTAGAGCCAGGTAAAAAAGACTGCGGAAGCCTTATGTTCCTCACATAACTCAAGGGATGAATAACAAAACTTACAAAAACTGCATAATTAACTAATTAATGAAAACTACTGACTGTTATACCGTTTTATAAGGTAATCTGTACGTCAGGTGAAGTACACGGGAAACACTGATCACATGGGATAAATGTGTGATCGGCTTCGTGAACTTCTCATTCCTCATCATGCATAATATAAAATCTGCAGAGACAGAGAAGCCTGTTTATGGAGTGTTGAACGGAATTCGCTGATGACTTGGATGAGTTGTAACTTCATTGTCCTACACCCTTATTCTCAATAATACTAATGGGGCTATAAATTAAAAAGTACTGGCTACTAGCTGTAGTATGGTAATTCTCACCAGTGAATTTGTAATACGGCGAATGACACAGTCCGTCTCAGACACACACACACACACACACAGGAAACAGTGTGTTCATAGTATAAGTCAAGTTAAGACTTTTACAACTAACTGCCTAACTTCTAACTCTACATAGAAT